TTAAGAGGCAACTACTATCTTAATTTTTTAAAAAATTATTTTTTTAAAAAACACTTATCTAGAAATACTTTTTTAAAGTTTAAATAAATGGATCCTATATTTCAATAATTTATAAGTTTGACTTATTATATATAATTTTTTATATTATAAAAAATGATATAATGATACTAAATACTAAATATTTATTTATTTATTTTATTTAAATTAATTAATTATAGATTTAATAAATTTTTTAAATGACTTAGAACCTAACATTTTCAAATAAATAAATTTTAATAAAAGCTTCAAACTAATAAATTTTTAAACAAATTTAGTCTAACTTAGACCTTATATAAAAATGATTTCCAAAAAATTATATTTTTGAGATTTTTTAAATAATTGTTTTTAAATATGAAAAATAAATATTTTTAATTTAAAATAAAAATAAAAATAAAAATATTTTGTGTACTAAAAACCCTATGAAGTGTTTCTGTAACAGTATAATTTATTTTCATCCCTGTATCTGTATCTCTGGACATGGATAATGGAGGAAGGTTTGGGAGATGAAGTATATAGATTATTAGAAGGTAAAGCAAGCAATCTCAACTTTTAGAGGACATTATGATACGGATGGATCAATTTCATTATGTCGGCAGTTCATTATTATTGCCAATATCTCACCAGACAAACATTATTATAAAAATTTAATTATATTTTTAATCTTTTAAATTTAGAATAAATTTATTTTTATTTTTAAATTTAAAATTATTATTTTTAATTTTTATAATTCTTATAATTTTTATTTTAATTTCTTAAGATACTAATAATATATCTAAAAAAATAATAAATTGAGATAATTATATACTATTTGTTAAATTTAATATGATATTTTTATTAAAAAAATATATGTTTTATGCGACCATATTTCATAAACTCTTATAAAAGTTAGGTATAAGGATACAATCAATAATTTTTAAAATTATAAAAATTAATTTTAAATTTAAAAAATTAAAAATAAATTTATCTTAAATTTAAGAAATTAAAAACATATTTACCTGTTATAAATAAAATTATTACGATAAACGTTTGGTTATTATAAATTATGATATCATAATATCGGGAAAAGGATGAAAATTATGACATTGGTTGAAATAAAATGGGATTTCCAATTTAAGTTCGATAGTCTTAAGAAGGGAATAATTTTTCAAGCGAGTCTTTTCATAGTATATATAGTACATGAAATCAACCTGAGATACATCAAACTTAATCTTCTAATTAAATAGCCTATAAAAAAATAACATAAATAGCTATTATGAAAATAGAAGAAAAAGATTATCAGGAATTTTACTGTTATTATATGAGTTAATCATTCATATACCGTTAGTTAGTGTAAAGTTTTTTACATTGACAACTAATCATATCTTTTAAATTATTTTATTTTATTTTTATTTCATTAGATGAGTAACTAACATGGTACTATTAAAAGATATGATTAGTTATTAGTATAAAAAAAATTTTACACTAGTAATGTATAGGTGATTAACTCTTATTATATTCGGTCTATTATTTTTATTAATTATTTATCAAATAAATTACGTTATTTTCCTCTTAAAGATAAAAATATTACGCTCTTCTCCCCTCTTACATTAAAATATATAATTTAGATAATTTAATTAAACATCATTAATATAAATTACATTTATTTTTTCTAAAATATAAATATTATATTATTCACTCTATATATATTAAAATATAAAATAAATTAGACTTTTATCTCTTAAAATTTTAAATATTATATTATGAATTAATCATCTATACACGGCCAGTGTAAAGTTTTTTTAAACTGACAACCAAACATATCTTTTAATAGTGCAATGTCAGTTACTTATTTAATGAAATAAAAATAAAATAAAATAATTTAAAAAATATGATTGGGTTAGAGTTTAGGGTTTATACTAACAGTGTATAGATGATTAACTCTTATATTATTACTATCTTATTATATTAGCTTAATATTGTTAAAAAATTATCATTAAAAAATTAAAAAAAAATAATTTAATTTAATTATTCATAAAAAATATAATTTTAATTAAAATATATTTCAAAACAATTTTAATTTCATTGTCATTCATTCACTGAATTAAAAAACTGTAAAATATTTACTTAAATTTAAATTAGTTTATTAAAATAATAAATAAAATAAAAACTATAAATTAAATTATATATTATACTTTTATATATACGTCAATATATAAAATATAAATTATATATTTAATATACATATTTTAGCATTACATTAATTAAATATAATAAATAATACTTTATCATAAAACACTAATTTATTTATATATTATTTAAATATTTTATTAGTAACACCAATTAAATAATATATTAATTAAACACACACATATATATAATTAATATTATATAATAAAAATATTATTTTATTTAAATTTTTATAAAAATATTACATTAATTATATTAATTAAACAATATCTTTATTATTCTCATGTATAATTATTTTTATTTTGATATGTAACTTTAAAAATATTTTGTAAAGATAATAATGAAAATATTTTTTTTATGATATATATAGTTAATTTAGTAAAATTTATAATTATTTTTAAAATAATAATTAAATATGTAAATTAAAAAGTATATTGTTAAAGCGTAACATATTTAATTTTTTAAAGAGAAAATAATGTTTATAAGAAGGAGACGGTGTAATATTTATATCTATGATGAGATATTTGTGTAAAGAGTGTTTTGATTATAAATTATTTTTTTTAACGGAACTTTAACAAAAATTTAAAAAATAAATAAAGTGATATACATTAGAATCTATTGAGAGAGCGGACTATAACATCTGTATCTCTTAAGGGAGAAAGTGTAATTTATTCTTATTTATTTTTTACATACATTTTGTTATTAGTTGTGTTATTACCATTATACAATTAGTTATAATTGCAAAAATGTTATAGAAAATATGAAGTTCTTAAACTATAATAACACTAATGCTCAAAATTAACAACCCCAGTGAAGCATAAGATGGTAAATATGTTACAATCCTAATTATTTGGGTATAACAATAAAAATTAAGAAAATAAAAATAAAAGTACAAGTTCCATTTTTCTTCTCTGCTACACGATATCTGGGACTTTCAATGAAACGATAGAAGTGTAGCATGAATAGAACTTGATCACTTGATCATGGGATCAAGCTACAAGTCATTGAGGAAAGGAATGACTTTCAACTATATTTTTTTATTTATTTATACATATATAATAAATTTTGGCGGAAAGGAATTACACCTCATTCCAAAGCAAGAAAAGTCAACTTTGGATTATATACTAAAATAGATAATTAGTTTATTAATTAATCAATAATTGAAACTTACAAATTACAACTCTAGCTACAAAAATGTTCTGGCACATTCTTACCATTTATTGAGTTTTATTTTTATTCAGGTCTATCCCTCAGGTTTTGAAACAGAAAAATAAAAATTCTTTCATTTGCATCCCTCCCTACAAAGATATTTCACCTTGATTCATTCCTTCCAAGAGAGGTAGGTAGATGCAAAAATTCCCTGCTCTATAGAAAGAACCTGGCAGAAGTTCAACATATTTAAAAGATAAACAACATGAATAAAACATGGGAGAATATTTTCCCTTTTTTCTATCATAAGTACAACCTTATTTAAGCAGTTTTATATTCACTAAAGAACATCACAGATGGATAATATTGCACAGGACCTCCATAAACATTCCTGGTCAATATTCCAATATATTTCCAAGTTACCAGATATTATATATATATATAAGAGAAGTCGACAATGCAAAGCAAGCATCAAATGCTTGATTGGTGGTCAGCCAGAAGTTTAACCACGGTCTACTAAACGAGTCCGAGGGATCCTCTTCGAAGACAAAAGAAGCACGATCACTTTGTCACATATTAGCAAAATAGTAATAGTAAGTTGTGAACTATGTATATATATGCAGTCAGGGAAATAGCTCATCTAAATGAATATCCATGATCACTGAAACGAGATCAAGAAATGACGTTTCACTTGCTCCAGGAAGTGCAGCTTCCTCTGCTTCCAGAACAATCTGCTCAATGACAGATTTTTTCTTCAGCGTTTCTCTACACATGATGCTTCCAATGGCGAAAGGAGCGAGTCCTCTCTCTGCACCTTTTTGAAGAAGCATGGTTGATATACGAAGGATCTGGGCACATTTTGGAGGAAGGTCCCATCCATGAAACTTCAAAAGTTTTATATCTCGTTCAGCATCCAGAGATTTTATGTAATCAATGGTGTCTTGGGAGTAAGGCTCCTTAGCTTGTGGCCAGTATAACCATTCAAAAGTGCAGTCTTCAAACTGCGAAAGTTGAAAATAGAATAACTGAATAAGTAGAAGAAAAAACAAAAGGGAAATTGAACTCCTTTTGAGAATAGCAACAACAAATAAAAGTTAATAACTACAGTTCGCTGTTTAGTAAACCTCAGAAAACCATTCCTCCGAGTTCTTATTTTGTTGAATTTTTCTTTATGTAACTTCCTGAGAGTGCTTTGAAAAAAGTGATAATTTCCCCTAATAAATGATACCAAATGCACACCAAGTATGATAGGACAACATATTCAATAATAGATATACATATCATCAGGAAGGATAGCCAAAAAATCAACCGAGGGAATAGAGACAGTGCACAAATGACAAATTAATTTGAGAATTGAGATTATTGAAAAGGATTTGAAGTCTGAATAAGGATTGCAAAAAATGAATAATGTTTTTGCGATAAAAGGTATAGGAGAATTTCAACAGGGGTTAAGAGAGCAAAAGCAATGAGTGAAAATAGATGAAGTAGAAGTAACCAAAACCAAAATCAGAAGATATTCAGTAGTGAATTTAAAGAAGAGTCAACATTCAACTTTTCATGTAGTCTAATGCCTACGAAAATCAAGCAGAAATATTCAGTTCTAATTGTAAAGTAATCTGTTATGCAAATAACATTGAGAGCAGTGGCAAATATAAAGCAAGAGTTGACACAGAATTTTACAGCATTTCAGCAGTTATATAAGTTATTACGAAGTAGACATGCATGAGAAGTAGAATTAAGATTAAGAAAGACACAACATAGCTGCCCATAACACCACCAGCTTAAAATACTCTTACACTGGAAAACAAAACTAATGCATTTAGTGTTAGAAGACTTACGCTCTCAGGCAAGCAATAGCCATGATCAATTGGAATGAGGACAGTTGGACAATCTTCACCATCCTTGGCAATCAAAATGTTCCCTGCATGCCTATCTGCATTTGCCAACCTGATATCTAGCACAGAAATCTTGTGAACCTCTTCCACCGGAAAAGAACTAGGGCCCATCTCTTCACAACTTCCAATATTCCTCATAAACATCTGAAGCGAACCTATTTTAACATTACTTGAGATATTCTGATAACCTTCAATATTATGAAATCCTTTCTGCAGGCATTTGACCATGACTGTAGGAGGAACACCAGCAAATCCCTGTTCTTCATTGTCATGATACGAGCGTGGTCCTTTCCTAGGATGATCCAAAACGTATGCTGCAACTTCTCTGAATGCACCTTGTCCTACTCTTGTACCTTTCTTTAGCCCTTCACCATCCTCAGAAACAGGTAGGCCTCGAGGGTTATTAATTGCCATTGGCTCCTCATCAATGGGCTTGAAAACAGAAACATACTTTAAGCCAGATGAATCTTGCATGAGATAAGCTCCTCCTGATCCCTCTGAGGATTGAATTGGTTTACGGCCTTTTTCTAACCCATCTGAAGTGATCTTAATCAGCTCTTGGATCACTGGTGGAATTTTGATATTGGAATTCAATATAATTGGTTCCAAAAGAAAATCTCTTAATTGCTTCTTCTCCAGGACCTTATTTGGTACAGAGACTGACCCTAACTGCTCCGCACATGAATCTGGCACTGGATTGTGTGCATATGATGCCTCAATTGATAATTCAAAATCCTTCTTAACTGGTTTAGTCCTTACCTTGGCATCTGATATTCTGACCAAAAAATGAATTACAGCATCATTGTCCTTACAGATATCTTCAATAAGTCTCTGGTCTTCAAGTGCCTCACCCTCACATACCAGTTCTTGATCCTTGAGATCCAAGAACCCTTGCCCTTTTTTTTCAATCTGCTGCTTCACATAACCAACATTCCTACTCTTCTGTACATAAAGGCCAAACTCCTTTCCACACATAGTCCTAACTGTGATAGCTTTGACATCAGAAAGTCTCAGCACCAGGTGCAAAACATTCCCATCACCAACACCATAATCACGAACACAAGATCTGTTACGAGCCAATTCCTTCCCTTCAAAAACCAACTTCTGGTTTTTAACAAAAAATCCCTTGAAGGTTTGAATTCTCAGCTTCACTGAAGCAATTGAATCTGTCTCCATAATATGCATAGGAATCACAGATTCACCAACAGTTAGGTAAATCAAAATTGAGTCCTTCAAATGAGGACTGAAACAGCCCGTAAATTCACCGCGGGTGTTATAAGATTTTCCGCACACTGGACGAAGTGCCACACAAGCCATTATCAATTTACAGGTTCAAAACATTGCTGGCTCAAAAATAAACAAGTTATGAACCTCACAAACAAAAGAAAAATTCAACTATTTCCCATCAAAGAATTAATAGGAAATCGCAAAAAACGACAACCTCAACTACATTTTTTTTCCTTCCTGATCCCTCATGCCTGAACCTAATCATACAAGGACTATAATCCTAAAATATGTGTATTGCAAGTTTCTTTCCAGAAATCAGGTCTCAGAAAGACTTCCCGAAAACACAACTTTGGAGAAACGAAGATCAGCAGATCACATCTCCTTGAATTGATTACATGGCTTTTTTCTTAGCTGATATGTTTTACTCTATGCTATACGAATATTTGTTGATGCTGATAAAAGAAGGAGGAATTGGAGTCCAATCTCCCTACAAAAGGAAACAAAATCTTCAGTCAGAGAAAATGAAAAAAAAAAAAAAAAAACTTCAACCAATTAAACTCAACAATCAGAAAAATGTAATAAAATACTGTTTACTTTCCCAATTCCCCATCAAAGAAGAAATATTCAATCGGATTAAAACTAAGCAATAAACTGTGCCTCAAATGAGGAATTTTCTTCGTTTCCAATTACCTCAGCAACAGGAAGAAAATGCAGACAAAAATGAAACAATTTCCAAACAATAATTCCAATTAAGGCGTAATGGAGAGGAGATATTTTTCCACAAATCAGATTCCTATCCAAACAAGCTACCATGCAAACAGTGAAACGAATCTTAGAAGAAAAGAAAAGAGAAAAAAATATCTGAAACGAAACCAAAGGAATTAAAGTGAAGGAAACGCTTACTTACAGAAAGTGAAGCGAAATCGACGAAGAGAGTCATGTGCGATGACGGTGATAGGAGAAATTAAGCGTCATTGTGCTACAAGAGAGTCGACTCAGTGAGTCAGTGACGCGGAATGCGGAATATTGAGACAAGACAGTGTCAACTCAGAATTATGGTTTGGAAATGAGAAGTGCTATTTATAGGCGTAGACTACATGACTTGTCACCGAAGTTAAAAATAAAAAACATGTTAATTTTTAATTTTCATTTTTTACTTTTACTTTTTTAGACAAAGGACATGTCTGTCCCCACCTAAGGTATTAATGCAGGATTTTGAATTTGAAAACTTTGCTAACCTTTTGTTTCAATTAATAATTATGCAAACGAAATTTCTAGAACTGCATTAGTAAGGCAAAATTAATATTTCCCCTTCTAAAAGAATTTTGTGAGATACAAATCAAAACTGTTATTTAGAAACTTTTTTTAATGAGAATCAAACTAAAAACACTTTTTTTTAATTATTTTTATAAAATATATTGTTTATCAAAAAATATTTTTAATTTAATAAGTAGTTGGTTGAATAAGTTATGAGTAGTTTTAAAAAAAATAAATTAGAATTAATTATTTTTCTTGATTTTAATAATAAGTTAGACAAGAGAATGAATTTTAGTTTAACTTATAAGGACTTATTAATATTAAAATAATAATATAATATTTAAATATATTTTTAATCCTTATAAAATGAAAAACCATTAAGATTAGCCTAGTGGTTGGGTGGGGAGGGATTGAGGAAGTTAGAAGCATGAGGACCTAAGTTCAATCCTCATTGTAACCATATCTTTGTAATCTTTCCTATTTTTACAAAAAAAAAAAAAAAATCCTTATAAAATGAATATATTTTAATTTTGATTCCTATAAAAAAATTGTTTATTTTTCATTTCTTTTAAATTCAAAATCATAATTTTAGTCATTATTATTACATGATCATTTTAACTATTTATTTAATTATTAGAAGGTTATGTGATTAACTCAAGTGATATTTATAGATGTCTGTGATATTTTATTTGTATATGACACTTCAAAAAAAATTATAAATCCTTAAAATAAGTATTATATATGTGTATGTGTGTTAAAATGGTCATTAGATACAAAAAAATAGTGATTTTAAATTTTAGAGACATAATAAATAAATAATTTTTTTATAGGGATCAAAATAAAAAAAAATATTTTACAATAACTAAAAATAATATTTATAACTTTTAAAAAAAATATAAAAAAGTTATATAACTCGAAATTAAAATTCACTAATTTTACATGTGCTAAAAATATATATAAGTCATGATATTGTACAATATTTATCTTTATATAACTAAATTATGGCAAATTAAGGTTTTGAAATGTAAATCATATTTTGAATTTATAATTCATCATTTAAATTTTAATAAAATATTATGTGCAATTATTGATATTTAATAAAAACATATTTAACTTTATTTTAGAATTATGAATTAAAAAATTAATTGGAAATAATAAATAAATTTAGTATATGAATAAAAATAAAAAGAATGTAATTTAATGTGATTGATAAATAAATATTTAATTAATAATATAAATAATGTTTAGAATGAAAATTTTAAAAAAAAATATAAGAATATTAAGCATGTTTAGTTAAGAAAATAAAAAATAAGAATATTACTCTCTAAATTAAATATTTTATTTATAATTTAGGAATTAATATTTTAACCTTTAATAATATTGATATATAAGAATATGAATTATAATTTTATAGAGTATTTGATGTTATACTTTTTTCTGAGTTTCTATTTATTTATTAAAGAGTATTGTCAAATAAGTAAAAAAAATTCTTAAGAGTTTGACAAGTAAACATTCTTTTCCAATATGAATTCTTTGGATTTACAAAAGGCAGAATTTGAAGTTTGAATACTTAATTAAGCGATTTAGATTATTTCACTCATGCCAACCCAAGTTAGTAGGTCAACCTATTTTAAAGTTATATTGATACCCTATGTTACATTTTCATGTTTGTAATAATTAGATATGGGAATACATGTTGAACCTGTTCTATAAAATTAAAGTTTAAGTTTGACCAATTATTTATCATATGCTTTTTTCTTTGCCAAGCTTGATTTTTTTGAAAAGTTTGATTTGATCTATTGTTCTATTTAAAAGTTTGTTCTACATTAACAATGTTATAACTTAATTTTAAATAAGTCAACAAAATTATTTTTAAACACGAGTACAAGTCATTTTTTAAATTTGTATGATAAAAAATACTTTATTATTATTAATATTAAGAGCGTAAAAGAAACTAATGAGGGACAAGTCATACATATCTATATACACTAATGTACATTTGTGCACAAGTATGGTGAAATAAGATAATCTTATCCTAAAAATACTTTATAAATATTCATTATATCTCATTCGAAATATTCTAAATAACCAATCATGAAAATGAAGGAAAAGAGTAGATGAAAATACGGTTGCTAGATTTTCTATTTTCTATATTTCGTATAAACATAAAATGTAAAATATAACAACTACTATGATCCCTATATTTAACGTGACAATTACTAGCAATGAAAACTAGATGCAACTAACTAAGATTAACATGTAACAGTTCTTGAAAAATATGATAATAATATAAATATGTTCATACAGATAAGAGCCAACATGAAATAAAGGTTTCTCTATGAAAAATTGTTGTCCATAATGTTGAGAGCATGTTAAGCTAAAAGACGATTTTAGATCCCTCATGTTTTATAAGTTTTAATGATAACAAATACTAATTTTTTTTAGTAAGAAACGTGTTGTAAAAGTTACTATTTTAGACAAATGCTAATCAAATGAGACATACAAACTGTTCCTAACGATCATTAATTATTATGAATGACAAGTTTAAATGTTCAAATGAATGTTTTATACCTTAATAGATCGAAAGTGTAACGACCCGCCTGGCCGTCACACAGCAAACAACACCAGCACCACACAGAATAAAACATACATATATCCAAATAAAGTATATACAATATGTCTAGCCTGGGGCTTAAAAAGTCCAAGTACAAAATACAGCCAGAATAGCCAAACTAGTGGCCAAAAACAACAAAAGTAACTCTATCTGCCAACTGCAGACATGCCTCACGCACACCAACCTATCCCTGTTCTGCTCCCATACACAGTATGATCATTGTAGTCCAAACCACATGGAAACAACAAAGGGTAAGCTAATGAAAAGAATAAGCATATATAGATATATTAGTACAATAATTATAAACAACTATAGCTTATCAACACATCATCTAGTTCAGCAATCATCAGCATACAACTCCTCACATATACAGCTCACATCATTCAGCAAAAACAGCAGTAAACAAAAAATGCGTCGTCACGCATATCAGCTCAGAGATCTCCTACAACAGCTCAACCTTATGGTCTACAATAGCTCAGCCTTACGGCCTACAATAGCTCAGCCTTACGGCCTACAACAGTTTATATCAGCATGCAGCATAGCACAACATAACAGCAATAACAGCATACAACACAACTCATTTTTATACTTCATCATAAACATCTCACCACACAGCAATATCATCAATCAGCATTAACAGCCTAAATCAGCATACAATTCAGCTCGGCTCAACAACATTAATCAACATATAACAGCATATATCAACATACAACAACATATATCGGCGTATAACAGCATATATATATAGAAAATACATATCTGCGCCCGGCGTGGCCCAACCAAAGAGCACCAAGGCTCAAACGTGCCTGGCGCAATTCCAATTGCGCCTGGCGTGCTAGGAGGCAGACACTCTAAGGAGCCTCACACGCCCGACGTGCCAAAACTGCGCTCGGCGCAAGGGAGGCAGAGACCTCCCCAAGGTCTCACGCCCGGTGCAACACCAATTGCGCCTGGTGCCACCCTTGGCAGAGACTCCCAAAGAGTCTCCACACCCGGCAAGACATAGTCACGCCCGGCGCAACATCAGAAACCCAAAAACCAAGTTACTTACTAATATCGCATCCAGCATGGTCCAACCACGCCCGACGTGGTCCAACAAGAGGCTCCTATTCTCAAGCTCGCCCGGCGCACACAACTTTGCGCCTGACAGGCTTGCCCAATAGAGCCCTCTGATGGTCACGTGCCCGATGCCAAGAACTGGGCTCGGCGTGATACCAAGCAGCAACTCACCAAGTTTGCAAATTTCCTTCAAAACCTGCAAAATCAAGTCATCCATACACATGCAATCCATCCAAAATGTCGCGATTTCATCAAACAACACGAAAACCAACTCATTTTCAGCATGCAACCATAAATCACCAAAAATCCCAAATTTTTCATCAAACCCCGAAACCCCGAAAACGAAAATCTTTCAAACACAACCATCAATTCCTCAAGAATCACACCATCCGTGAGTTTCTAACTCACTCAACAACAACCAACACAAAATCCTAACTTCCCTTACCTCGGTGAAGAATTCTGAGCTCCGGGAAGAGAAGAACGAGAGAAGAAGCTTTGAATGGAGAAAAGAGACGGAGAAGAAAAGTCTCAACAAGCCACCACCAATCTACTCAGCACCTAGAACAATCAAAGGAAGAGAATGACCCAAGCAAGGTGAGTAGGGAATTTGGGGAAGAAGAAAATAGTGAAGTGAGTGTGAAAATGAAAGTGAGGGAGAGAAAGGAGAAGCGGCCAAGGAAAGAGGTCTCACAGAAAGTTGTTGTCTTGAAACTCACATTCTGTTAAAAGTATACGAAAGCATGAAGAGTAATGAAAAAAGGACAAAAATCCTGGATTTCACGAAAAATGTGCTAAAAAAAGATTGCATTCTCTCTTGCACGCTGACTTTGCTTCTTAGTGTTCCCACTTTGCTACTCTACTTTGATAAGTAGCTTGGTCTATCAAAGATAAAGAACACGTTTAAGTGAAAGACATTAATTGAAGCATTTAATGCAATAACAAATATTTCCTCTATCTAAAGATCAGACGAAGGAGTAAGATGAAACAGTTCTATGAATCAGACTCAAGAAGCTACAACGGTTATCTCTTTCAAATTAAGCTACTATATAAGAAGTTATAAAACTCAAAAGAACAAGAAAAATAATAGAGAATAGAAGTGTAAATATAGAAAA